TGGTCTCTACATGGCATCTATCTGTGGTCTCTCATTGCCTACCTTTCCCAGAATTCCCTACATCTCATAGTCCCACCTACTTCTAATAGCCAAACAGTGTTTTATTCATCAACCAATAAGAGAAATGTATATTCAGGAGGACATCCCCCATCACATATGTAGCTTGGTAAATATACCATAAAGCTGTCCAAATGTTGTCCAGAAATACCAGAAGTCCAACTTTCTGTCTAACCAATACTTGGTAATGTGCTCTTGATTAATTTAAATTTTTATCATTTTATTAATATACATTAGGTATTCATTGCTATAATTTCTATTGCTTGATAACCAGTGGGTTTGAGCACCTCTTCTTACATCTAGGAAGAGTTTTGGCCTCCCTTTCCATGAATTTTCTATTAATATTCCATGCCCATTCTACACTGGCTTCCCAGCCCATTTGCTATTGGTCTATAGACATTATTGTACAGCATGCAAAGCTTGAAAACATGACCTTGGAATGGTGGCAGTGTGATAGTAAAACTTGGAATGCAGAGACAAAAGGATCTGGAGTTAAGATAACTCTCAGCCATCTAGCAAGTTCTAAGTAAGCCTGAGACTGTCTCAAAAATTCAAATATTAAGCATTACCAGTACTTTCTTGTGGATTTTCATTTATCTGATAAACTTGTGGTGTATATTGTAATTGATTTTGATTTATCCATTTTTTGTCTTACATATGTGTTTTTAGAGTGTAACTAAAAAACTCAATAGTTCCCAAGGTACAATAATAATTTCTTATATTTTTATGTTAGAAAACTATCTCTCTTTCTATAAATATATACACAATTGCATACTATTTATATACATAATATGCATCAGATTTAGTGCAGAATAATCATTTATCTATTAACAACAACAAAAGCCTTCAACCTCCCTAATATTTGATTAGTTCTTCCTTCTCGAAATAATAGAAAAAAAACAATAATCAAAGGGAATGATTTAAAATAGAAAAGATAATGATTTCAGAATCATTTGTCACTTAAATGGGAATATCAGGGAAGAAGAAATAGTAACATTCCCCTACACTAGTTTTCATTAACTGTAGTGTTGGAATATGCTCACTTGGATAGAAAAAAAGTAATGATAATTTATTACTCCAAGATGTATTTTCAAAAAACCTTTCTCTGTACAGTTAGAAGAAAATGAGTATTTAAGCTGCTACTAAAGAGTTCAATACAGGTCTGAGATTGCAATTCAGGATTATGTGTCAATGAGATGGTGGTGATAAATACAAAACACTTTTTATGAAATTCCCATAATGAAAACACAAGTAAAAGTACAAATATACGATGAGCTTTTGAATTCCCTATTTAACAGCATGTTCTTATTTTTTATTTTTAGATGAGCTTTTGAATTCCCTATTTAACAGCATGTTCTTATTTTTTATTTTTAGCTACTCTAATCCTCTACAATGGACTGCCACCTTTGGTGTTTCTACAATACGTCCTATCTTAAGAGTGAGAGTAAGGACTATTGTATCCCATAACAATTACAGACCTACAACTCGTGATAATGATATTGCAGTTGTACAACTTGAAAGACCTATCACCTTTAACAGAAATATCCATAGGGTGTGTCTCCCGGCTGCGACCCAAAGTATCATACCTGGTTCTGTTGCATACGTCACAGGATGGGGGTCACTCACGTATGGAGGTAAGTATCTCTGGAAAATAAACAGTTTAACAGTAAATCTGTTATTTATTACTATGGAAATTTGTTTTTGAGTTTTGACACAGGGTCTTTTTTTTAATCCAGGATGGCTTGGAATTCATTATGTAGCCTAGGCTGACCTCAACTTCATAATTCTCAGCTTCAGCTTCCCAAATGATGGGAATATGGGCATGTATCCATCTTTGTAAATTCTTAGATGTGGAAACAGCCTGAGAATAGGCTCTAATACAGAACCATCTGTATCTGATCCTTCCTGACTCTACCTACTACAGCTGTTCCCTCAGGAATGTAAAACAAGCAGTACCCTTAGACCATAGAGAATTCTAGACAATTTCTATAACAGGAAAATTCGAAAGACAAGATTACAGAAGCATAAGTTTAGGGACCTCAGAGTCAACTCAAGACAACCCAAATTCTCAGCACAAAGGAAATGTATTTGTCCCAGAGGACAGAGGGCAGGAATAAGGGACAAGGACGAGAGATGGAGAATGAGGGAGAAGGGTATGAAAACAATGGAAAGGAGAGAAAAGGAGCAAAGGAGAGGGTGAAGGTATATTTGTCCCAAAGGAACAAAGGACTGACCCTTGGATAGAGGACACAGATGTGGCCCATAGGCAAATGGTTGTTTATAAATGGAAAATGGGAAACCCATGTTAGGATGAGTTAGTTAATTTTGATTGGGCAAGTTAAAGGGGGCATAAAGGGACTTTTTGACTTTGGACTTCAATACTTTGATAGCTGGACCTTGGTAGTCAGCCTCAAGAGGAGGAAGTGGCCAAATAAGGGAATGGAGCTGGATGGCTAGCTTTAGGGATGCAATCTAACAGTTTGTGGTGAGGCAGAGGGAATGGGGAAGAAGGGCAAAAGTTGCCAGAGATATGTTTTCTGTGCTTGGGTTCACTAGAGCCCCTTGAATAAGTTCCTTATTACTATAGAAAGTCTAGCCAAGTGGTGGTGGTTCATGCCTTTAATCCCAGCACTTGGGAGGCAGAGGCAGGAGGATCTCTGTGAGTTCAAGGCCAGCCTGGTTTACAGAGCTAGCTCCAGGACAGCCAAGACTATACAACCCTGTCTCGAAAAACCAAAAAGAAAAAAAAAGAAGTCTATTAATTTCTGTGAAGGAGAGTTAAAAAGAGTATGAGTTGAGACTTTAACACCCCTAAGGTACTGCCTTTAAGTTACTCTGGGATGAAATGAATCCTACAGCCACAGCAAGGAACTCCACGTAGAGATAAATATTGACCATATTCATTCATTGAATGAATAAGGTTAAAATTAAAATGAGCACAATTTGAAAAAAACAATTAGAGGCAAGGGGAAAAAAATAACACTACCAGGTGGGAAGTGGAAGAGGAAATTGGCAATTTCCTTGGGCTATTACAACCTTGGTAGTGATTATTTCTCTAGGGACTAATAAAAGTCTTAATTGTCCCAGAAAGTATTTCACTATGTTCTTTGGACCCAAATGGCTTGACATAATACATACATTTTATAGCAGTCATGGAAAACAGTGGCAGTGCTGTTCTGAGGGAACATTGATATCACAGATTAGTTCCTTAATGCCAGACTGACTTCTTATCTGATGCTAAATGTTCATTGATGTGTAGCTTTCTAATCCAAAATCCATCAGTGAACTTCTTAAATTATGTAAGTCAACATTAACATAAGTATTGGGTATCATTGATGTTGTCGATTTGGGTTTTTCATTTGTTTTTTTGAGACGGGTGATCATGGTAGCCCAGGTTGCCCTCAAATTTACTACATAACTGGAGCTGGCCTTGAACTCCTGATTCTTCTATACTTACCTCCCAAATGTTGGAATTACAGGCATATGTCACCACATCCAGCAATTTATTTATTAACTCTAAGCGTAAAAAGGAAACTAAATCACAAACTCAAAAAGAAAGCAAAAGAGAAACTTGTCTCCCTAAGGAAGTTATCCCTTCTTGCCTACAGAAATCTTTGCTCAGAGGAAACTCATAAGTGCATCTTCTGATGACTTTCTTTTAAAATAGTGTTTTGAGTATTTGCACAAATTCTCAAATTCAGCAGAGTCATTAATTCATATTTTCTGAAGTCTGTTTTATTTCTGGTTTTATACTAAATAGGCAACACAGTCACCGATCTACGGCAAGGACAGGTCAGAATAATAAGTACCGATGAGTGCAATGAACCAGCTGGTTATAGTGGAAGCGTCTTGCCTGGAATGCTCTGTGCTGGAGTGCCTTCAGGTGCCGTGGATGCATGCCAAGTAAGTACAAGACACCCTTATCATTGTCATCGTCAAGAAGTTTATAGGCATTTTCAAGCACATCTCTCTGTGACAAACATAAAGATAACAACAATTACAACACAAAACTCTGAACCTCAAAACAAGTATGCCCTTAATTATAGAGAAAAAAATCTTTTTTGAATCTCATCTGTCATGAAAATATTAATTTTTAATTGCTATGAATGGTCAAACCAATATTATACGATATGGTGGATACAATTAATGATAAAGTATGATATATTTCAAACTTGCTAAGGAACACATTTTTATGTTTTTATCACAAGGAACAACATTAAGGTTTTGAAGTAGAAATGTTAGCTACCTTGATTTTTAGTATTCAGTATTTTACCCATAAATCATAGAAACATTTCCTATTTCACAAATGTATAAAATGATGAAATCTCAATAAAAATAATCAGTTATTTAAAGTTTATAAACAGTAATTAATTTTTAGATTATACTGTTTTATTTGTAAACACTCCTCATTCTCAAAGTCCAATTAATAAAAATACTGTAACATGCAACCACCAAAAATACCTAATTTTTGAAGTACTTTAAAGGTAGAAAATTTATACAATATCTTAGTTATTTGAACCATATGAGATCCTCAATTATATAAGGAAAAGAAAGAAAAGGGAAAGAGAGGGGAGGGGAAAAGAGAGAAAGGGGGAAGAGGAGAGCAAAGGGGAAAAAGAAAAGGAAAGGAAAAGAACTTTGTCTCTAGCCTATGAAATTTTAAATCAAATATCCAAAACAAGCAGTAAATGTACAATTGTCTCCTTATAGATTGGTATAAGATCTAATATCAAAATTTGAATGAAATTAATAAAACTTAGCAGATTCCACTCCTTGTCTGAAATTAAGCCAATGTAGTCACAGCAGCAAATAGTTAAACATAGTTGTAAACACTCTAATTTCTTCAGGCATGGAAACCTTGCCCACCTTTCATAACAACAAATTCTCAAGTTTCATGAAGTTTTCTAAATAATTCAACACGCCTTTGATCCCAGCACTTAGGAGGCAGAGGTAGGAGGATCTCTGTGAGTTTGAAACCAGCCTGGTCTATAAGAATTAGTTCCAGGACAGGTTCCAAAGCTACACAGAGAAACCCTGTCTCAAAAATAAAAATAAAAACTTAACAGTCAGAGAGTAACCCAGGTTGACAATTTCAGATCTACTGAAAGTATTGGTTACAACAGCTTGAGGCTTTAACATTTTAAAGTGTTCTTTTTGTTTTCCCTCTCTCATGCCCTCCCTCAGCTTGTGTATACAAAGTCTGCTCTTCATTTCAAGCAGGTTCATGACATCATTATCATGAAATTTTCCCTTGTTCCACTCCAGACCTTACTGGTCATTACTTAAAACATTTTAACACACAGATTTTTTCCTCACAAAATATATTAAATAAATAATATTTTGCATAAAAGTTTATAGTGTCAATTTCATACATTCATTCAAAAATACATCTATTCATTTCTGTGTAACATTTCTTGTGTTAATGCAACTGTATGTTCCATGCACTCATCAGGTTTAGAAAAAAGAATGCAAGTTCAATCATCTGCCAGTAACTACAATAAAAGTTACATGGCACTCATAGCTAGCATTTACTTATATATAGTGGATAAACTACACTTCAGAAAACTTTGTCGGCATAGGACCATCTGCCAGTAGCTACAATAAAAGTTACATGGCAGTCATAGCTAGCATTTGCTTATATATAGTGGATAAACTACACTTCAGAAAACTTTGTCGGCATAGGAAAAATAATATAAAAAAATAACAACAAAATCCTGAGGACCAGTCAAATGGAATATGAATGCATCATCCAAAGGAATGAGGTACCAGACAGCTCCAAGCAGTACTTGTCAAGCAAGTTGGTGATTCATATATTGACCTTTCTCTCCATCTAAACTATTAATTAAATAGGTATGGAAAAACGTAACTACTAAGAGCAGCCAAATGAATAGCTAACTTTTCCAGAAATACGTTTGGTAATAATAGCTGGGTTTTATTAGTGCTGACTGTACACCAAGCTCTTCCCAAAGAGCTTTGTGTGTTAATCACACTTAAACTCATAAAAAAATCATTTATTGATAAGAGAATTGCAGTACAGAGCAGTTAAAGAGCTTATTGGATTCCACACAGCTGACAGGTGGAGGATGCAAACTCAGGCTGTCTAGCTCCAGAATTCAAAGAATTAACCCATAATACAGTTTCTTCTAATTTATCTCCCTAACTGGATTATAACATGTGTAACTAGTTTTTAGGCAGCAGTTTTTGCCATTGGCTGGTAAATATCCATAAGAAATGCTCTGCTTACTGTCATAAAAATTTCTTTTCAATTATTCACCAAAAGAACACTGGTGGATGATTTACTAAGCATCATACTGGGTAGTAAAGAAAGGTAGCTAAATGACAAATCTATAAATTCATTCACTCAAAAACTATTTCTTGAGCATCTGCAATGGGCTAGAAACCAAGGGTGCAGCAGTGACCAGGACACAGATACTCCCTTCCCTGGTGAACTTTATAACATCACTGTTCACACAGACACTGGCCAAGGAGAACTGACTATTGGGAATAAGCAAGTGTTCCTAAAATATTGAAGAGTCAGGGACATAGATACCACAGAATGAGATCAGTCTCATTCTAATAGAGCCCCAAGACAGAAGTACAAATGAAATCAATGGGTCATAGACGACTTCCTAGAGTGCAAACCTGAGGAGAAGAGGAAGCAACAAGGAGGTAACTGAAGGAAGGCCAGCTAATGAGCTTTATGCCTTCTCAGCTTTGCTTGTATACTTGAAGGATTACATTATTTTATTTTCTTATTGTCTTTCAGAAAAGACATAGGCTGAGTTCATGACTAGGACTTCCTGTACAGCCATAGAAATAAACTGAAGATTTCAGTGTTATTTTGCTTTTAAATAATCAATTACTTTGTTTTCTTCAGGGTGATTCTGGTGGCCCACTAGTACAAGAAGACTCACGGAGGCTTTGGTTTGTTGTGGGGATTGTGAGTTGGGGATATCAGTGCGGCCTGCCAAATAAGCCAGGAGTGTATACTCGAGTGACAACCTACCGCGACTGGATTCGACAGCAAACTGGAGTGTAGTGCCATGAAAGCAAAGGTGCTGTGAAGTGTGTATGCAAGTGCACCTGACTCAGATGTCATAAAATTACTTTTCAACTGCAAAGGAAACTGGAAATGTCTCATTTTTAACATAGTATCACAGAAACATGTGTTAACAAACAGTATTTAATATTTCTTTGTCAGTGTGGAATTGTACTTTCTCAAGAGAAACCATGTGAACATTGCATTGTATTATGGCTAAGTAAGAGACAAAATATGTTAGACTAGTTATTGGGTTAATAACTTTATTATAGTCATGGCAAGTTGTAGTAGTGAGAAATGAAGTGCCTTGAGTCGAGGAGCCTGGAGAAGGAAGAAGGGCCAGGGGTGTTCTCTGAAGAAGTCTCATTGAAGCTGGTAGTATGTAGAGTGTAGGACTGTGCAAAGGAAGTTGGAGCATAGTCTGAACAAAAGAGCTATGTGAGGATAGAGCGACATTATCTGTTTAGAATGTCTGGATAGTCAATATTTTACAGAAAAACTTAGTCCTAACATTAAATTTTGAAGCTACTGTACAAAAATTGTAAAACCTGTATCTATCCTAATTATTTGACAAGATCACATTCCTGTACAAATCTCCCAGGATGTTCTTGGGTATTGAACATCGGAGCTAAATTAATTGATTCAAAGTGAAACCAGCAGACGTGCAAAAAGTTTTAATGGTGAATTTTAATTTTAAATGTGTTTTATCTGCATAGAAGAGAGGACATATCTCCTCCATAGAGAAGCTGAGGTGATGAATCCATACAGCCTTCTCAGCTATCTTAGCAACCACAGGACTTGTTGGGAAGAAATCCCTACTAGCAACTTCCTACCATTGGTATTATTTTTTAGAGTAACCTGATGCTCAGCAGCAAAATTAAGTACAAATTAAAAGTGAATGATGATGAAGAAGTAAAGATCTGGTTTGAAAAGGTAAAGATTAAATGGCTTAATATCAATAAATCTGTTCTGGAGACAGAAGAATCTCACATTCATAACTTCTTTGTCTCTCTTGTATCTGTGTCTTGTTATTTTTCTCTGTCTCTGTCTCTCACTGTCTCTGCCTCTCTTTGTCTCTAATACACACACACACACACACACACACACGTTCACTCACACATGCAATCACTATCATCAAGGAATACAAATTAAATAGAATCAATTAAAACCTAAAGCCACAGCAATCTATATAACCTGATTCACAAATGATCCAGATTTTGTAGGCTCCCAGTATAGCTAAAGATTGGTTGTACATGATCACCTGTGTGTCATAGTCACCCTCTAAAAGCTAACTCCTTACACCTGTAGATGAGAGACATTCACGACACCACAATGAAAACTTTGCTCTTCCTGGAGTAAATCATGATGTCTGAATTAAAGCAAATTCTTTGACATAAAAGGATTGAAAAATGTAACCAACTCTTGGAAAGATGTATACACAAATCTTTGCTGCATTTTATTTCAAATAAACTCTTTTATAATCTTTTCCTCCTAATTATTTATGGAATTTATGATTGCTGAAGGATGATCCAGAACAATTTATTTTAATTGGTTGTCTAATAAGAGAACTTGTAGCCAGACTCTAAAGGTTGGGCATGCTCTGTTCCCTATAATCAAGCTCTCTAACTGAAGTAGCGTCCAGCTTGACACTCCCTTGGTGCACCCTGTGAGGACAGCATTAAGCTGGTTATTTAGAGCAAGCCTCAAGGGGAGGGTGTCTCTACATGAGTATGTGTGTTACATGTGTGTGAGTGCACATGTCATCACATATATGCTTGAGTTTATTCTTATATTAGAAGCCACTTCAAAGATAACATTTATTTGGCTGAATGTAGAACAAATTCATTAAAATGCTAAATTGTTATTTATCCAAATACGTATTTTTTTAGGAAGAGATTTTTAAAAACCAAAGGAACATGTGTAGACTGTTTGAGAAAGCTCCTCTCCCTCTCCGCCCACCCCACTCCCCCCCCTCCGCCTGTGTGTGTGTGTGTGTGTGTGTGTGTGTGGGTGTGTGTGTGTTTTTTTAGTTTCTGATAGAGTCCCCATAACAGAGACCTAGGTGACTTCATGAAACTAAGTGTGAACATGTATGGAATCATCTCGCAGAATTAGTAATGTTAAGAAAAATCCAATATAATGAATACAATCATATGTATTAACCAATTTAAACAAAAAAGTTAGTGTTTGATATTCAGACTGGGGCTAAAATAGTGAACATCCCTAATGAAAAGATAAATAATCTAAGAAAGCTCAGGGGAAACAATTGACTATGAAGTGGACTTATTTTAAATCTCAATTTCACAGGGCAGTTTGTCCATTTAATAAATGCATCAAGCCCTACTTCTGGTTCCCCCCATCTCTCTGGGGCATGAATGAAACAAAGGGAAATGACTCCTTGCTCTTAAGACACTCAGATAATAATGACATGCATGTTATGTTATATAATATAATTAGTAAAATAAAAAGTAGAACATTTATTTTAAAGATAACAAAATAATGGAGAAGACCATAGAAATGGTAGAATATATGCTTATTTTAAAGGAAAGTGGAATATAAATCTCTGGAGCATCAATATGCTATAAGTCATGATAATCACCCTCTGGACCAGGAGAGGGGAACTGGTAACATTGCAGAACGTAAGTCTACATCTTGAACAGGATCTGCCCTTCACTCTTCACTTTCCCATTTCCTTATTTGCTAAACATGAAATGATTCAGAACCCTACATAGATTTTCCTTTCTATAATTTTTACATATGTATTTAACTAAAAACTCAAAAATAAATTCTGAGCTGGAGATATAACTCAATGAATAAAGTGTTTGCTGTGTCTGCATGGGATCCCGAGTTCAATTCCAAGAACCCACATTTAAAAAAACATTGACTATGGGGATTGTGCTTATAATCCCAGCACTGATCTGGGTGGATTTCTGTGTCTCACGAACCAGGCAGCCTAACTGAAATGGTGAGTCTTTGGTATGTGCATGTATACTTACAGATACTGAGGAGCATGGGTTTACACACACAAGCTAAACAATTGCTCAACAATTAGCTTGCATAATCTTCTAGAGGAAAAATATTTCTTAGTTCTGGTTGTTCACTTCAGCAAAAAAGTAGCTCTTTTGAAGGGTGAAGTGAATTTTTATGAAAGATTGTTCAACAAAAGCTTGATAGTTGCATGAAGAAATATTGAAGAAACTTCTCGGGTTAGTTAGATTTAAAATCAGATGATTTCCAATTTTTTTCTCAATCTACGAGGCTACCAAAAAATAAGCAACTAATTTTAGGAACATCTCTACAATAAAAAAAAATTGGTAATTATTAGGAACATTTATATGTGTGTTTAATCTAGTATACAACCACAAAACAAAAAAAAATCATCTATGAAGTCAAACCAATCAGAATTATGATTAAGTAGTACAAAACTTGTGGGAGTAACCAAGCAATATCCGAATGAGATGGAACCCATTCCCAACACTGCTTGGATGGCCAAGAAACTGAGACTAGATAGCCCAAAGATCCAGGGGAAAACAAAATACTATGGTTCTGCTAAGGGATCATAGCAATTAAATGACTTCTAATGACATTCTGCTATACTCATAAATCAGTGTCTTGCTCAGCTATCAACAGAGAAGCTTACTCCAGCAGCAGATAGGAACAAATACAGAGACCCATATCTAGAATAAGCAAAAAAAGAGAAAGACCTTGAAACACTCAGCCCTAAAAGAAATGTCTCCATCTAATTTTTACCCTCAGGGCTCAGGAAACTCTGTGGAAGAGGAAGCAGAAAGAGTGTAAGAGCCAGGGTAGATGGAGAGCACCAAGGAATCAAGGCCTTCTAGGTACAACAGGGCTGGCAAACATAATGAACTCAGAGACTGTGGCAGCATGCACAGGGACTGCAAGGATTTCCACCACATAAGGCTTTATATCTGAAAGGAGAAGTGGACACAAGTCCCCATTCCTAATTCAGCAGCTAATTGACAGCCACTAGCAAATGAAGATTTAGCTGTCTTCTATGGAGTCTACTAGGGAAACAAAACACTCTTAAAGGTAGGTCCATGCCCAACAGTAGATGGGCACAAAAGGAACCCAATAGCATCTTTGGAGGTTCTTTGTCTAATAATGTTAACTTAGGCATTTTTTAAAACCAATATATATATATTGGTTTTGTGTTTTTATGTGATTGCTATGTGTGTATGTGTGTAAATATGTGTGTTTTTGTGTTAACCAGATCTTTAAAGGAAAACTAATACTAATGCTCCTCTACTAAAAGTAACAAAAGAACAAGAGAAGTTTCCAAACTCAGTTTATGAAGCTAAGATTATCCTGGTATTATCCATGTAATAAAAGCAAAAGGAAGAATAAAAGAGATGCAAACAGTAAATGGAGAAGTAAAATTAACTCTATTTGCAAGTGTCATAGCATTATACTAAAATATTAAATCAAAAAGCACTTAGATCTGATAAACAATTCAGGCAAAGCAGCATAATACATAATCAACATAGAAGAATCAGTGCATCAATAATGAACTTGCCAAGAAAGACATGAGGGGGGAAAGTCTCTATTCACAGTAGCTTCAAAAGAGTAAGAAAAATATTTACATGAACCAGGCCTGGTGGCATATGCCTTTAATCTCAGCACTTAGGAAGTCATTGAGGCTAGCCTGATCTACAAAGCAAGTTCCAAGACAGTCAGGACCACACAGAGAAACTGTATTTTGAATAAAAAAAAACACAAAAAAAACAAAAACAAAAAAGACTAGAAAAATATTTATAATAGGCAGTTGTTAAAATAATAAATAAAAACTTCCATTAAATTTATGAAAAATTTCAACATTCACAATTATAGGAAAATACAGATTTGCCTTCACACAGTAAATTGTGGGTTCATAACTTTACCAATATATTCACACACACAGTACATTTGATTGATATTTCTGACAGTTTTACTCTTTGAATGACTTTATGAGGTTACCATCAATTATGAATTACTTCTTC